CCCCCGCCCCGGACACAGAAGTGCGTCCTCCCTGGTCTAAGGAGCAAGCAGATCTCCTTGGTGCCAGAAAGTCTGCTTGTTATGGGCTTCACTGTTGGAGTTCCTCACCTGGGACTTCAAAGAGGTCACAAAAAAAGGGATAACGGGTGCCCATCCGAGGGGATACATGCCATAGAATCATGTTTGTTCATGTCACTAATATGTATTATTTTATTCGGAACATTAAATTTGAGATTACTTGGAGCAGATTTTAACTGTCCTCACAATGGAAGCTGCTTTTGGGGGGAGGAAGAAGGGGTCCGTTATGAACACACCCATCCGTACACATCTGTACTAGGATTGCCAGGCCCCTTGTGGCAACCAGCAGGAGATGAGGGGGGATTTACCAGTAGAAAGAAGGCCTATGCCATGTCGACGGCATCACACAGAAAGTGACATCATCACGCCAGCGACTTCCGGGTGATGATCTGGTATTTGGGTGAAAACTCTATGGTAAAACTGGCTTCTGGATGATGATCTGGTATTTGGGTAAAAACTCTATGGTAAAACTGGCTTCTACCACAGAGCTTTTGCCCAAAAACCAAAGCGTCACCTGGAAGTTGCTGGCATGATGACGTCACTTCCTGTGCGATGCCAGCAACGTGGCCTAGGCCTTCTTCCTTCTACTGGTAAGTCTCCCTGCCAGCCAGCTGATCGACGACTGGGGGGGCAGGGGCCTGGCAGTGGGGGACCCCTGCCTCCACTGGGGGGTCTGGCAACCCTAATCTGTCCCCCATTCCCCCCACCACCATAAAAAGCCATTCATGCTAAGGGGAGACAGAGAGTCCCCTCAACGGAGATGACCCCCTCCCATCTTTTCTCCACCACCTCTAATGCTTTGCACCTCAGTGGAAATCTTGCGCGTTGGGTTGTTCCTCATGCGCACCCGGACTGGAGACTGCACCTCGTCTGACGACGTCCCCGATGCCTGGTCGCTCTCACCGTCTGAGCCCATCTTGAGGTCTTCATGGACGATTTCTGTGCCAAGGAGAGAGAGAGAGGCAGATCCCAGAGGCAGGGGGAATTAGCGTCTGCTTTCCCCTCACTCCGGTCCTTCAAACATTCCATAAAGCTGGCCTTAGGGAAGCAATAAGCCTTTGACTCAGTATGAAATGGCTCTGTAACTTTCCCTGTCTTAGACAGAAACAAGGACTGTTCTACCCATTGGCAGAATGAATGGACGGGATCACTTCACACAACAAGGGAGCAGTTTCCAAATTATCCTCTGCGTTAAACGTTCCCTGCAAATAGAAAACCACCAACGATTATCATAGCATAGTGGATAGTTCAAAGTGTTGGCAGGCCCATAGGTATGGTGGGACTTTTGGGGGCTCCGCTACCTTTCTTAAAGGCACAGACCGACAAGAATTTCTCCTGTAAATGCTTTTGAAAGGAGTGTGCTCCTTTAAGCAGAGTGGGGTGATGTAGTTGACTAATTCCTGCACTGAGCAAGGGGGTTGGAGTAGGTGACCTCTAGGATACCTTCTAACTCTGTGTCAAGAAACTGGTCTCCTTTAAGAGAGTTTTTCCACCTAAGTATTAGCTCTCTTGACTACAGAGGTCATCCCCCCCACCTGCCGGCCTGTTATCAGAATTGTTGCTTAGGCTGGCAGAAGTGATTAACTTGCAGCAGCTGTCATCTAAAGTGGTTGACAGCTTGCCATTTAGAGCTCTGTCCTGGTAACAGTGTTCTGTTGGCTAAATGGCTTTCCCTTCTGCACTGAGAACTTCAGCCCCACCAGGAAAAAAATTGCCTCACAAGCCACAAAATCCTGGCTACGGGCCTGGGTACTGGCTATCACTTGCAAAGCTCTTCATGGCCTTGGCCCCTCTTATTTGTGGGACCACCTCTCTCCCTATACTCCGCCGTGTCAACTTGGTTCAGGTCGGCAGGGGCTTCTGCAGGTGCCAGCCTGAAAATGGGCAAAATGAACGACTGCCTGTGCTCACGTCTTCTCTGTTGCAACCATGCCAAAGTGAACCATTGAAGAGGGCTTTTCTGCACAGGTAATGGGGTTACACGGTACAAAATGGTTCAGAAGCTTACTCGGATAAATGATTGGGACCAGGGCTCCATATTAGGCAACACACCCCTAATGTAGCCAATCCTCCGAGAGCTTACAGTAGCCCCTGTAAGAAGAGTTCTGTAAACGCTTGGAGAATTGGCTACATTACGGGTGTGTCGCCTAAGGAGTTCCTGCTACAAAAAGAGCCCTGGGGGGGGGCAGTCTATACTGCTGCATATACCTTATCGCAAGTAGGATCCTATTGTGTAATTTTTGTACCATTTAACATGTCATGTGAATAGTTAATGCTATGCTTCAGTTCTTTCTGGTGGCTCGACTTCTAAAATCCTTATGCACTGGTTACTGAATGCTCCGTCTCGTTCATAGTACTGACTCACTATGTGTAATCTGCCTTGAGTCCTGTGAGAAAGGCGGACTGTAAAATAACAGTTTAGGAGTGCTCCTGGATACCTCCTTAACAATGGAGGCCCAGGTAGCAGCCACTGCCAAGGCAGCCTTCTACCATCTTCGGCTGATTAGAACTTCGGAAGGTGCAGCTGGTGCAAAACGCGGCGGCGAGGCTGTCGATGGGCCTCCCGATGAGGGAGCACATCCAGCCTGTGCTAAAGGCGTTACACTGGCTGCAAATAGCTTTCCAGATCCGCTTCAAGGTGCTGGTTTTGACCTTTAAAGCCCTATATGGTCAGGGACCTGCCTACCTGAGGGACCGCCTTTACCCGTATGTTCCCCAGAGAGCACTGAGATCTGGGATGCAACATCGCCTGACCCTTCCTGGCCCTAAAGAGGCCAGGTTGACAACAACTAGGTCTAGAGCATTTTCGCTAGCTGCACCAGCATATTGGAACGAGCTCCCCAGTGAGATCCAGGCCCTGCGAGATCTCCAGCAATTTCGCAGGGTCGTGAAGACGGAGCTTTTCCGCCGGGCATACCAGTGAGAGCGATGGTATGCCAGCCAAGCCTGCCGACCTCCTAAGACATGTATTTTGTATAAGTAGTTAGCAATGTGGTCGAGGTCCAGTCGTAATGATTTACCAAACCGCTTTTATTTATATTTATTGTACTTATGTAAGTTGTTTTATGGATTAATGTTTTATCTATGTTGGTTTTATTAATGTTGTGAGCCGCCCTGAGCCGCTTCGACGGAAGGGCGGGATAAAAGTTGGAATAAATAAATAAATAAATAGAGTGTCAGACAAGGACTACTGAGTTCGAGTCCCTGCTCTGCACTGGAAGCCAGCCAGGTGACCTTGACTCTGTTGCACTCTCACAGCCTAACCTACCTCGCAAGGTGGTTGTTGTGAGGATAAGGTGGCCGAGGGTAGAACAATGTGATAAACCGTGTTAGGTTCCCGTTAGAGAGAAAGCGGAATATAGATTTTAAAATAATAATAAAAACAAACACTCGGAAGGGTGAACCTTTCACTTTGGGAGCTAGTTTTCTACAGGCAGGGGTTTTTTCAAGGGAAGAGTACTGAAAAGTGGTCCAATCCATGCTAGCTGTAGTCTGAAGTGGTACAGTCCATTCTACCTCCTCAAAGCCCTACCATCCTGTGGCTGTTTGGACAGATCTTGCCTAAAACCTGGAGCTTTGGATAACACACCCTCCAGTTCCCCCACTCTTATTCCTCCAATAAAAACCTATCCAGAACCATTAAATTGGGTTATCCATGCTGCTTATAAACATCTTGATACAAAAAATCCCATATGTGGGACCCAGCTTCTTTCTTTATGACTTCATGGATGCGATTCAGAGATTAAAGACCTGGCCCATGGCCACCTACAGTATGTCCATACTCCAAACTGGCTCTGCATGCCCAGTTCTCAACCACTGAGATCACTTGGGTTCTCCTTTAGATAACTTTTTGAAAATCAGCAGGGATCTTATCTCCTGGGGGTCCCCCACCTTTTGGAACCCGCGGGCACCTTTTAATTCTGACACAGTGTGGTGGGCGCAGCCACAAAATGCCTGCCGCAACTTCACTTCAGTCACACGGTGAAGACTGTCGTGCTATGGCGGCGGCTGTGAATCTGCACAGCCAGTCAAATTCACAATGGCCAATCAGAAGTCTTGCTGGGCATGCACGTTGCTCACTGTTTCGACATTATTTTGAAGAGTCAGCATGCCAATTTCGTATCAACCTCACCCCTGAAGCACAAGCTTCAGCTAGGAGTAGATACTTATGAAACTGATGCACATCTGACCAGCCCGAACCATGACTGACACACTATTAAGACACAGGTAGGGTTGTCATCCCCCCGACAGAGGTGGGGTTTCCCCCACTTTTGGGGGCCCCAATCCACCACCGGCCAGCTGGCCAGTGGGGAAGCCTGCCCCCGAAGAGCCCCATCATGCCCACATCGGCCAGCATGATTACACCACCCGGAGGTGACATCATAGTCCCCAGAACATCGTGCGGGGGATGCTCTAGCATTTGGGTAAAAACTCTCTGGTGACCATAGAGCTTTTAACCCAAATGCTAGAGCGCCCCTGAATGACACGCCCAGAGTGATGATGTCACCTCCAGGTGATGTCATAGTGGCGCACGTGCTTCACGTGTGCCAGAAGATTCCAGGGGCTGAGCTGGAGCCCCCCACCAGGACACAGGTAAGACCTGGCAACCCTAGACACAGGTCTTTAGGCCCATGTTGACACCGAGTCAACAACTGATGCCATGTTCATTGGGACCAAGACCCAGGCAACATCCACACCCTTACCGCGCTCCTTCTGAAGCCAGGAACAGAAATTCGATACTCTGGCCTATCCAGTCTCCTCAGTTAAGGGACTGCCAGCTTGAAGGCAGCCCAGCTCAGTGACAAGGGGCCTGACTGTGTGTCAGTCATTCAGTTTAGATTCCAAAACATCTTCTTTCAGTCCAGTGGGGATTGGCAGAACCCCTACCCACCACAGGGAGTCCTTGCGGGCACAGTGGGAGGGGCAATAATCACCTAGTCGGGCGGTGCGGTTGAGGTGAGTGCTCAGACTCCGGCTGATGGCCAGGCGGGGCCTGCGGAAGGTGCCTGCATAGTGGTTGAGGAAGGCGTGAACGCTGTGGGAGGTGCCGGGGCGCACGCTCTTCACTGTGGGGCCTGGGGGGGGAAGGGGGAGGGGGAAGAGGGAAGCCCATGGATGGACAAATGGACAGACAGACACATGGGGGCGTGGAGGTGAGAGACGATGGGATACAAAAGGTGCACCAACCGAGGGACGTTGACCGAGACAAGGAGGTGGGGTGCATGGTGTGAGGGCAGGTGGAGCACAGAAAATCAACACAGGGCAGAAGAGTTGTAATAGGGAGAAAATCACCAGTGAGTGGCAGAAGCAACAAGGGTGGGAAAGGCCACGGGTAGGAGACATCGAGAACCAAGAGGAAAATAGCCACCCCTCCACCAGATCAGGAGAAGATGGATCCAGGAATTGACGAAAGGAAGGAGGGAAATGGATGCATGGAGAGGAATGGGAATCCCATGCGCGCACCGAAAGGAAGGGGGAAACACATGGACATGCACAGGCCAAGGGAAGAAAAGCACAGAAGGGAGAGGAAAAGGGCGGAAAAAGCACACAAACCAAAGTCAGATATACAAAAGGGGAAGGGTCAGCCATGACACGGGCAGGGGCGGAGTCACCACCAAGACAGTGCAAGGAAGGAGGAGTCAAAAAGAACAGGGAGGAAGGAGGAAAAAAAAAGAGAAAAAGAAAGAAATATGAAGGGGGGGGGAAGCAAACTGAAAAATCAAACCAGAATGAAAGTCAAACTTAAGAGGGAGCCCTCAGCAGAGAGGCATGACAGGAGCGTAACAGACAGGGACAACTTACCTGAGAGGGACACGTTTCCTAGCTGCACACACACACACACCCCGCCCCAATTTTTCGAAGTGTCGGGGCCATTAACAACAACAGCACAAACCTCGCTGAAACTCAGAGGCTCTCCCTAGCAAAGGGCAGGAAACCACTTTCCTCTGGAATCGGAACTTGAATCAGGACAAAAGGGAACGGGAGAGGTACTTACTTCATGGCCCCAATCCACAGAGCGTGGCTTCCAGGTTTCATTCTAGAACAAGTTTCTAGCCCTCAGTACTGCAGAGACAGCCTTTCAAAGAGCCAAGGTAGCATTGTGCTCAGTACTGCCAAGACCGTAGCAGGGCGACAAGGGACTTTTCAGTGGTCAGGATCACTTTTGCTACTCGACAGGGTTCTCGCTCCCCTACCCGCTGACAGCCATCTCCACCACCCGTTCCTCAACCGCCTGTCCTTTAGCAATCTTCCATGAGAGATGGCTGGCTCGGTATCTTTCACATCATGTCCATAATGTATCCTGCACGCAGTGAACTGGACGGATCTGGTCTCCCCCCCCCCCCCCGTCGCAAAATTCGAAAATTCTTGTTTGGATTCGTGCTGCGCTACGGCACCTCGATTTGATGGACAAAAGCACGCGTTTCGACAGAAGGAGAGCCGCAGTGAAGATCGGAGGGCTACCCGACTGCAGTTTAACAACCCAGAAAGCCATCTCTTGTTTCCTCTGTTCCACTTCGGCTCATCTGCTGTCAACCCTTCCCTCTCCCTCTCCGGTTTCTGTAGCATCTGTCAGGCTTGCCCTCTCTCTAGAAGAGCAACTAACACACAGCTCCCCCTTAAAGACAGGAAAAAAGAACCTGATGGAAAAGCGGCAAACAGCACCTCGGGATGCGTAAGGACTGCCCAAGGACGATCCTCTGCCCAGTGTGTTCAAGATCTAAACGAACTGGAAAAGATGCAGTTCAGTAAGGAAGAGTGCAGAGTTCTACATCTGGGTAACAAAAACGAGAAGCACGCATACCGGATGGGGGGACACACTTTTGGGTAGCAGTGTGCGTGAACAAGATCTTGGGGCACAGGCGGACTGTGTGCTAAATATGAGCGGTCAGTATGACGCAGCAGCAAAAAAGGCTAGTGCGGTCTTGGGAGTGCATCGACGGAGGCATAACATCCGAATCACAAGATGTCACAGTCCCACTGCTGACTGCATTGGTCAGGCTGCACCTGGGGTACTGTGTGCAGTTCTAGAGGCCTCACTTCAAAAATGGGCAGAATGGAGCAGGTGCAGAAGAGAGGGACAAAGATGATCAGGGGTCTGGAGACCAAGGCCGGAGAGGAAAGGCGGAGGGACCTGGGAAGATTCAGTCTGGAGAAGAGGCAATTGAGGGGGACACATGATGGCTCTCTTGAAGTATCTGAAGGGCTGTCACCTAGAGGAGGGCGGGGAGCTGTTCCTCTTGGCAGCAGAGGATAGGACTCACAGTAACAGGTTTAAATTTCAGGCGGAATGATACCGCCTGGCTATTAGATTTATTTATTTTTTTACCGTAAGAGTAGTTCAGCAGTGGAATGGGCTGCCTAGGGCGGTGGTGAGCCTCCCCCTCTCTGGCAGTCTTCAAGCAGCAGCTGGACAAACACTTGTCAGGGATGCTCTAGACTGATCCTGCACGGAGCAGGGGGTTGGACCAGATGGCCTGTATGGCCCCTTCCAACTCTATGGTTCTAGGAACTAAAAGCCCAAACAGAGGTTTAAACCGGAGCAGAGAGAAGAGAAAGGAGGAGACAGATCCAGAGAAAAGCACAGAAACTCCCGTGATTATCAGGGATGCTCCCAGTGAGTGCCAGGAAGGTGAGACAATTGGAAAAAATTGCATGGCTCCCCAAACCAATTTTCAGAGCTTTGCCGAACAGACACACACCCGGATTTTGTATCCAGAAGTGTGGGGTGGGAAACATTCCACGGCTTTAAAAGTTTTCCATTTCTAAAGAGCTGTTGTTTCGTAAAATTAACAACAATGACTGGAAGCGATTGCCAACTCAGTATTAGGCAAGCTCGACAATGCCAAAGTCGTAATTCATGTTTTTTCAGGCCACTATCCCTTGGAGTTGCATGAGAGAGTACATGGAACTTTTATTTAATTTATGCCAGGGGGAAAGGAGAGAGGAAACACACCATCGACACATGTAACAATCCAAAGTTTAAAATCAAGTTATGAGTTCAACTGATCGACAGGCAGCCAAAGCTAAAAATTCTTATTTGTATGTCTCCTCTCAGATGGGCGGAAGGGATAGTGTCTTCCACTGGGCTGATGTGGAACTAGCAAGTCATGCAAGCGAAGATACAGAGAGTGATGATGAAACTGAGGTACTCAAGCAACCTCACGGAAAAGAGTTAAATTCTTCTTTGAGACGGATGAGCGGGCTATGACATCCATGGGCTCTTGGGCACAGTTCTTTGGGTATGTTAAAATTAGAGAGCAATCCTATGCAAAACCACTCCAGTTTGGTGGTGGAAAGTGCCATCAAGTCTCAACTGACTCATGACAACCCCCATCGGGTTTCAAGAAAGATGTGTTTAGAGGTGGTTTGCCATTGCCTGGCTCTGCATCACAACCCTGGACTTTCTTGGTGGTCTCTCAGTTGAATACTAACCAAGGCTGATCTTGCCAGTTTGGTATCGTGGTTAGGAGCACGGACTCTAATCTGGAAGAACTGGGGTTGATTCCCCACTCCTCCACATGCAGCTGCTGGTGTGACCTTGGGCCAGTCACAGTTCTCTCAGAGCTGTTCTGGAAAGAGCAGTCCTTGAAAGAGTCCTCCCAGCCCCGACTACCTCACAGGGTGCCTTTTGTGGGGAGGGGAAGGGAAAGGAGTTTGTAAGCCGCTCTGAGACTCCTTTGGGTAGTGAAGGGCAGGGTATAAATCCAATCTCTTCTTATTCTTATTCTTCTTCTCTGTACTTTTTCCAGCACAGAGAAAAATCCTAAGAAAGAAAAGCTTTGTATAAAAGCCTAGAGTAGACCTTGTCGAGATCTTTCCTTGGGGGATGTACAAGCTACTCTGCAGCAGCCGATGAGCTACCGGTAGCTCAGCAGCTCCGCTATCTGACGAAGGTCCCTGATTAAGGGTATCAGAATTTCTCCTTGAATATTTGTGTCACAGGTAAGAAGGGGCTGTGGCACACCTGCTTTATCTTGAAGCAGGCCACTGGTCCATCAAGGTCAGTTTTGTCTACTCAGACTGGCAGCCGTGCCCCAGGGTCTCACATCAGCTCCTGCCTGATCTTTTTAACTGGAGGTGTCAGGGATTGAACCTGGGACCTTCTGCATGCCAAGCAGGTTCTCTGCCACTGAGCCACAGCCCCTTCCTGCAGCCTAGAGCTCTCAGAGCTGCCTCTCCTTGGCTGCGCTGTGACCTGGTTGAGTGAGCTGGAGCAGGGGTGGGCAGAAGGCGAGGGCACCCTGCTGGCGGATCATCTGCTGCAGAGGTTCTTGCAAAGGCAAGCCGGTCTGGCCAAGATCATGCCCTGACACAGCAAGGCACTTCTTAAGCAAGATTTATATATACTCAGGATCGCTTAACACAGATTAGCCGTTAAGGGATCCAGAACACAAGCTCTTACTTGGTAAATTTGAAAATACATTAGTGGGTCACTAGGGTTATGTTTTTAAGTGGACCACACAACCCTGAAATCAGCTCGCCTCCTGGCAAGATGTAAAACTGAAGTGCAGAGAGGCCTCTTTGGGACAGAAACACACATTCAAACAGCATTTCCCATTGAACATATGATTATGGAGTGTCCTATATTCAACGAGCTGAGGGCTAATTTAAGATAAAGGTAAAGGTTCCCTTGCTCGAAAGCCAGTCAAATCCGACTCTAGGGTTGCGGTGCTCATCTCCGTTTCAAAGCCGAAGAGCCAGCGCTGTCTGAAGACGTTTCCGTGGTCATGTGGCCGGCATGACTAAACACCCAGGCACACGGAACGCTGTTACCTTCCCACCGAAGTGGTACCTATTTATCTACTTGCAATTTCTTGCTTTCGAACTGCTAGGTTGGCAGGAGCTGGAACTAGAGACGGGAGCTCACTCCGTCATGCGGCACACTCGGGTCTCGAACTGCTGAACTACCGACCTTCCACGGCCTGCAGTTCAGCCTCTTAACCACTTGAGCCACCGCAGCTCCTGAGGGCTAATTTAGTCACCCGTTAACTTAAAAATAAGGAACTGCTAAATGTGAGAGCCCAGGTGTCATGGCTACTATCAGATACAAATGACTGTGTCACCCTCTCAGTGGCAAAATTCAGAGGCGCAATAATCAAATATAAGAGAAATAATACTGAGGAAGGTCTTTCAGAATAATTTTTGGTTCTAACTTCTGCTTAAGGCGATAGCTATATGAGCAGTACTAGATAGATAGATAGACAGATCCATAAGAAAGCTAAAAACTCAGCAGATTAAAAAGATATTAACATGACTATTTACAAATATGGAACAATGACACTTTTTTCCCTGAAAAAGCGACTAAAAGGGGAGAAGTGGAAAGACTGACAACAAAAGGTGGGCATAGAGATATAAAATTTCCAGAAATTTTGAAGCTATCAGTAGAAGAAACAGAAATTTGTCAGAAAAAGATAAATATGTAATGCTTGCTGTCCTATGAAACCTAAACCTATTTTGCTGCTTTAACATCATAACATAAATGCATCATTTATAAGTGCCAGCCTATGTCTTTGTATTAATTGTCATGTTTATGGAATTTCAAAGTAGAAATGCCTAGTTCTGTACAAGTAAAACTGCGGTTCTATTTCACTTCAGTATTGGATGCATTAGCAAGCTGCTGGATCCTGTACTATCTTAGCACATTTCATGCATTCGAAAATGGGGAAAAATCCAACTTTTTTTCATCGCTCCTCAAAATTTTCCATCAGAAAGACTGGGAGGGGGGATTCTGCAGACATTCGTGCCATACCTTTTCAGCAAATGAAACCTTGTCTCAAAAACAATTTCACTTTTTTTGGAATATATTTTGCATGTGTATGTGTGCTTATTTTTTTCAGCGTTCCCCAAAACTCCCCATTTTTCCCCACTGGCAAATAAAAAAAAAAAAAGCTGTTGAGAGGAAGAAAAACAAAAAATATTGTTTTCCGTGACCCTTCTTGTCTCGGTGCCCTTTCGTGTCGGGGGGGGGGGGGGGGGGAGTGGAGGAACTCATTCACCTGACCTCTTTCTTCACAGGTTCAAAGAAGCCAGAGGCTGCGTACTTTTTAGAATAAAAGTAAAACTCCCCCTCAGGTAAATATTTTGCAACCAAGGATTTTAAAAAAAATAATAATGCTAGGCTTGTTTCCTTTTTAAAGCTGAAGATATTCAAGTATTTTACTGAACATATTTCCCTGAGTGTTTGTAAGGATTGGAAACCATTACCTGACAATCGTGTGCTTTACTAAATTTGTTTCTTGCCACCAGGGCTTTTTTTGTAGAAAAAGCCCAGCAGGAACTCGTTAGCATAATAGGCCACACCCAACAGCAGAAACACATTAGCATATTAGGCCACAGCCCTGACAGAGCAGCTCATTAGCATATTAGGCCACACAGCCACGTTACCAGAAGTGTAGTCATCCAGCCACACCCACCTTTTGCTTCTTATTCTGCTTACCTTGTTTGTTGTCAAAACCAGGGCTCTTTTTTTTGCATGTTAGCCCACACACCCCTAATGTAGCCAATCCTAATGAGTTCCTGCTGTTGGGTGTGGCCTATTATGCTAATGAGTTCCTGCTGGGCGTGGCCAACTTGGGAGCCAGCCGGAACTCCGTTCCTGTGCGTTCCTGCCCAAAAATAGCCCTGCTTGCCACAATCTATGTTTCTTGGTTTTTTAAAGACAACGAACTTGAACATTACTTATGGAAAAATACAATAAGAATGGAACAAACCTACGAAACCCAGGAGATGCTGAGCTAAGCAAAGAAGCCTCCTCACAGACCCACCAAACTCCTTGCCACGAAGCAAAACACCAATCTATCTTCTATGTGTGGGATTTTTTAACTTCACAGTCTTAAGGCCTAGAAGCATTTTTTTAAAAAAACCCTTTCAGGTCAAAGGATTCTAAAGCATTTAACAAGTTCCTCACAGTTCCTCACTGGATGCCGCGCTCTGTGGTGAAATTGTGCTCGTGTGGAAATTCGGAGCCGCTCCCTGTCTGCACCCGTTCTCCTGAGCCACCCTGAAGGACTCACCATTGTCACTGCTGTTATTTTCCTCAATGTTGATGGGTTCGTTGAGGTTTTTCTCTACCGTCCGGCTCCCCCGCAGCGTCATAGACAGCTGCCTCTTGATCTTCTTCATCCGATCCATGGTGGGGAAATTGCTAGTGTCACTGCCGTGAAAAGAAAAAGAAGGTTACCACACTCTAGACGTACAGGCAAATTGTCCCTTGGTGCAGGCCGTGGCAGGTGCAATTAAACATTAGATCTGGACCTTCCGGCCCTAAAGGAGGATCTTTGTGGAGCACAAGAAAAAGTTAGCGTCAGTAATCCAAGTGCAGAGCCATTCAACGATATATGCCGGCACACTAAAACATGACATAACTATCTCCTGGCCAGATTGTGGCCACCGAGCTTCAGGGTTTGCTTTCCATCACTGTTTATACAATTATAAAGCCCACCCTCAGACGTTTCCAAGTCTTCCGTTGTCCTTGATGAGGATGGTAAAAGAAGGAACACCCTACTGGGGAAGTGGTCCCAGGGGGCACAACAGCCCACAATACTGAACCACTTTGACCCACGTTAATGTGAAATATTATTAGTGTTCTGAAGGAATCCTGACCAGAAGGCACTCCCGTAATCTGCACTGGAGGAACTTTATTCATGGGAAATGAGCCGGTGGTGGGGTTTAGTGGTCAGAGTGTTGGACAAGAACCTGGGATCCAGTCCTTGAACTCCCATGATGCTCTGAGGGTGACTTTGGGCTGGCTATTCTTCTACCTCATAGGGTTGTTGTGAGGACAAAATGGTAGGAGGGGAACCACGTAAGTTCACCTGAGTCACATGGAAGAAAGAAGTGATATAGATCCATGCATCAGCAATGGGGGGGAAGTGTTCCTCAGAACATTAAGAAAATGGTTATGCAATCATCCTTCTTATTGTTTCCAACTATAACAATGACAACCCATGACAGGTCTTTGTCATCAAAGTTATTAGCTTCCTAGCTCATTTTTAGGGATGGATTTCTCGTCTCTCCAGTTCTATAACAAAGCTGGCGTTACCTAGCAGTTAAAGGCTTCGCAGGCCTGGTGCCAGCGAGCTTCAAGTCACTGAGGGGAAGTGCTCATGTGCTACCTTAAATATATTCTCAAATTTCAGCTCTGCAATGAAAAACATACAGAGTTAAAGCTGCTCTTCTCTATAAGTGAAGCCATGAGCACAACATTTTAGCCCGTGTTCGTCAGAGAAGACCACCCAGAACCACATAAAAAATGTTTCAGGACTAAAGATCAGTTGGCTGTCCCAAGTAATGTGAAATCTGAAAGGCCTAGAAGTAAAGGGCATCTGAGAGCCCACCTGAGGAAGAAACAGCACAGGGAGAATGTGTTGCTCAGCCTGCCAGTTAAGATCTGCCTGTTCTCTCTGCCCCCATCTTCAGTGGTGAGGCGGGTGGCAAGCAGTGACAGGGCCTTTTCAGTAGCGGCACCTCACTTGTCAGACACTTGAGGCTCCACCAGGCACCTGCACTGCTTTTTTAAAGGCAGTAGCCCAAAATGTTTCTGTTCACCCAGGCCTTTCATTAAGGGGTTGACCTTTTAACCCTGTTTTAGTCTGCAAAGTGTTATTTTAAGCTGTCGGTGACTTGGTCTTTGTTTTTATGCTGAGTTTAAATTCATATATTTTAATGCTTTTGTTTTTACTATTTTTTCTTAATTTGGTAAGGCGCCTCAGGCAGGTTCCTGGAGAAGCAGCACCCAAAAAAATGGTAAATAAACAAGAGGGGTAGCTGTTTGGGGAAGGATATGGGCAACATGTGTGTGGAATTGGGGGCTGATGATCTATGAGGAGATTTTAGGAAAGATCCTGGAGCCACGTGGCAGCCATTTCAGAGTTCAAGAGACTGGGGCACCCGAATCCGCTACGGTTGCCAAGTACTTACCGCAATCTGGCGGGGGACACATGCTCCCCGGCCGGAACATTTCTCCTTGTAACGCACCATGCCGTCACCAGGAAATGACACTGGGCGACGCTCTGGAAATGGGGCTGAAAATTCGATGGTACCATCGAATTTCTGGCCCCATTGCCAGAGCGTCGCCCAGCATCACTTCCTTGCAACGGCATGGTGCGGGACGTCTGTTGTCCCCGCAGGAATAATCCTGCGAAGACGTCTTCATCCCCCGCCGAATCACGGTAAGTACTTGGGAAGCCTGGAATCCGCTGACTGCACAGTTAAACCTTCCATGATGGCTACTCTGACTTTCCAGATTTCTGAGCAGGTTTGGCAAGGTGAGGTCTAACACCGTGGTTAACGGCTACAGATGACTGCCTTCCCAGGTGTCGCACAGAAAGCTTTCCGGGGGCCTCTCACATGGTTTCTGCTTCTCTGAACCCACCCAGAGTCTCTCTGTTCTGAAAACCGCTAGTCATCTGAATCCACTCCCTGAGAACGGTTGTGAGAAGATGCATTTTTGAATGACAACAGTGGGGCCCGCACAGCAGCCCGTGCTACTGCTTGGTTAACCCTATTTGGACCCTATCTCCAGGTGGCAGTCGAAAAGAGCAAGAGACCAGTAGCAGCTTAAAGACTAACAAAATTTGTGACAGGGAATGAGCTTTCGTGAGGCACTGCTCACTTCTTCAGATACCTGAAGAAGTGAGCAGTAACTCACGAAAGCGCCTCCCCTGCCACAAATTTTGTTGGTCTTTAAGCTGCTGTTGGACTCTTGCTCTTTTCGACTGCTACAGAGAGACTAACATGGCTACTCATCCGGAGCCACCTCCAGGTGGGGCCTGGACATCTCCTGGAATTACAATGGATTTTCTGACTGGAGAGAGCAGTTCCCTTGGGAGAAAATGGCTGCTTTGGAAGGCGGAGACTCTGGCATTCTACCCCACTGAGGTCCTTCCCCACCCCAAATCCTGCCCTCCCCAGACTCCACCCCCAAAACCTCCACAAATTTCCCAACTTGGAACTAGCAACCTGAGGGCCAAAGGAGGGAGGGAGGCCCACATGTGTTCTGGCTACCACACAGCACCTGACAACGGGGTTCCTCTAACAGATGCACAGCCTTTCTGCATCTGCAGAGAGGCCCAGAAAGGAAGGGCAGGTAAGCAAAGCTACAGGGTGAGGAGTTAACAGCCGCATGGGCACCACCCAATGAGGTGTGACTTGGCTCCTTGGGCCACTGCCCAGTAATACAAACACAGGCACTGCCTCCTCCTCAGGCCCTGCTTGATAGGAATAACCAAGAAACACGGCGCATACAGTGTGCTGTAGAGGCCGTGTGTGCGTATGTGGAGGAACACAAGCAGGTTGGGATCAAGGAAGCACAATGAATGATATATTCACACTTGTGTTTTCAGTTTGCCACGTCAATCCTGCGTTATGCCCACACATACAGAGAACCTCTCCCACTCTTGGGATTTTTTTACTTCCCTTCCTCCAAGCCTGTGGCTTTCCAACTACCTTCCAGGACAGGGGTCTCCAACATGGAGCCCCTGGTGCCCACTGACACTTTTTCTGGCATCCATCAAGTGTTTTTTACAAAGCTGGTCGGGCCAGGCAGGGCTTTTGCCCAGCAAAGCTTTTGGATGGATGCTGCAGATTTGATTGGCCGTGCAGATGGTTAAAAGTGTCGCTTTGGCAGCAGCTGCCACCACAGCACACTATGTGACTGAGGTAAAACTAGGGCAATCATTTTGTGGCTGGCTCCCCCTCCTGTGGCAGCCATTTTGTGTCAGAATTCCAAAGGTGCCTGCAGGCTCAAAAACTTTGGGGATCCCTCTTCTAGGGAGCCCTGGGATTCCTTGAAGGCTTTATTGTGGGTTCCTTCATGAGAATATCAGGAATAGCGGACAAACTTTGCTGAGAGGTACTCCCTCAGCAACTCAGGGCTCCGTATGTTCTTGGGCTCACTCTGTTTGTGCGGTGTGAATGTGACGCCCACAGGCCCGGCCAGAACCCCCTGGGAACCGAGCATGGTGCTCATCAACCCTTCACAGAATCCTCCGCCACACAAAGAGCGACGTGGCAAAGTTCCTTGTTTGACAAGTCAACGCAGAAAGAGTTCCTTGAGGCAAAAAGCGCAAAACTCGCTGATCTGAGGTGCCAAAGGTTGCCGGGGCTGGACATATCACAACCGGTGGGCATGACAGAAATAATAATAAGAAGCTTCCCCTATTAACAGGCAATGGGTTGGGTTTTTTTGTTCCATACTTATTACCATATTTGGAGAGGAGAAGAAATTTACCCCCGGGTCAATCTGGCTAGCAACACAATTAGCATAATTCATTCTAAGCACATAATTGGGGAGGTTGTGTGTGTCTGTCTCTGAATGTCTGTGTGTCTACATGCGCACCACCCACTCACACAAAAGGCCCATCCTTGACACGGCGCTGAGAGGAAAGATGATTTCATCCAAGGTTCTGAACCAGCCGGCGTTTGGTCAGAAAGCTGTACTTGTGGGTTTTCCTGACTGCTTTCATCTACCTCTTGAGCCTTCCTGTAATGAAGGGTAGGGATTAAATTTAGCACCAAAGGGCTGGCACGCACGAGGAAACTGCCTGGTCTGGGCACGTAACTGGCAGATACATCCAAATACTGCCAGAATTGTAGGTGACGGGTTTGTTCGGGGCCAGGTCTCTCCCAATGTAACACAGGCCCCTTTTCTGAGATGGGGGAGGGCACGGAAGGATCCAAGTGGGCCAGGGGCTGTAGCAACCCACGCAGCTGCATCAGAAAGCCACAGATCCACTCTGCAATGCCTTTGACCAACAAGACCAAAATATACTATTACGGAATATTAGACACTCGCTGTCCACTCCAAGTACTACTGCAGCTGAAAAGAGAGTAGGAGATAGTTTAAATCAACAACCTCGGTGCGGCCTGCCTCCCACCAACCCCAGTGCATCCCATAAGCCACGCGCCAGGCCTCGAACATGAGGATCACCACCAGTGTTCCCTCTAAGCTGAGTTAGTGTGAGCTAGCTCACAGTTTTTTAGCCTCTGGCTCACACATTTTTGTCTTCACTCAGGATGGCTCCAGAGCAAACTAATTTATGCAACAGCCAAATCGCTTGCTCACAACTTTAAAGCCAGTGGCTCACAAAGTAGAATTTTTGCTCACAAGACTCCACAGCTTAGAGGGAACATTGATCACCACCCTTCATGGGT